GAAAAGAAAACCCAGGCAAATACTGTCCCCCAGCTTCTGTTAAACCTGCCTCGCAGAAAGACACAGTCAGAATTGGTGTAGAAAAGTCCTGAATTGGGTAGCAGCTAATACAATATTCACAACTGCATTCTGGGACAAATCTATCTCCAGCGACAGACTGAATTGCCAGAATATGATTTCTGGATCTCTTCCAAAATACCATCTCCCACAAGTCAATATTCCAGATGAAGAAATGCATGCACACCCATTCTCATTAAAACAGAGTGCTGCTAGACATCTTCTGAATGTTTGGCCCCAATCCAAAAGACAAAATCTGAATTATTTTTTCCCCTTTATAAAACATGTAAAATTTCCATAATTGTGATTGATAGCCCTGCATCAACAAGATGCAGAATTCCATCTTCCTCTGGGAGGGAACGAGAGCCCTCGGAGAGCCCTCTGAACTGTTCTTCCCTGGTTTCAAAACGAAATCTCCCAAATCCAGGATGAACGTGAGTAGTCCCGTCTTTTTGACTCACAAGGAGATCAGGTGTGATGAGAAGAAAGTGATGCCCAGCATCGGCAGTGTGAAGATGTGAAGAGTTCTCTGAAACAGCATGGAAAAAATGTAACATGCCTCATCAAGTCTTACAAGGAATGGATGAGGGAGCTGGGGTTGTTTAGTCTGGAGAAGAGGAGGCTGAGGGGAGACCTTATTGCTCTCTACAACTACCTGAAAGGAGGCTGGACAGGTTTAGATTAGATATTAGGAAAATTTCTTCATGGAGAGAGTGGTCAGGCCCTGGCCCAGGCTGCCCAGGGCAGTGGTGCAATCACAGTCTCTGGAAGCGTTCAAAAACCGTGTGGATGTGGTGCTTAGGGACATGGTTTAGAGGTGGACCAGGCAGTTAGGTTAACAGGTTGGGCTCGATGATCTCAGAGGTCCTTTCCAACCTTAACGATTCTATGATTCTATGACCAAAGCAACGGTAACAAGCTACACTGCGAGTACAAGAGAAGAGAAGTCCTAATAAGGGGCCTGTCCTTTCAAATCAGGCAGTAGCACCAAAGCATAGCAGTGGTGATCTGGAACTGACTCTGGATGTCCTTTGAGGTCTGCCTTTAATTCAGAGTGACATCTAGACCCATACACTGTATTTACTAGAATTTTCAAAGAGGGTAGGATGACATTGGGAACCAGATGGTGGATGTCAGCTGAAAAAAGGTCCCTACGCAAACCAGCTGTCTTGGCCAGCAGTGCTGTTAAGGAAAGCAGGACTGCAGTTCTGACCACTTCAGGCCTGGAGAAGGATGACAGCCAGAAGAAAAGAAGATGCACCACAGCACCAAAGACTTTGGACAGTGTGTTAGCTCACCCAAAACTCCACCATGACACGGTCCGTTATTACTGTATCTGGGCTCCAAGATGACAGTTAGGAGGCTTTTGATGAGAAATGCGAATGGAGTT